CGCGGTCGTTTCTTCAAAATGACATCCACCGGTGGCTTCATTATCGTCTGCGGTTAAAGATAAAGTTTCGGGGTTGATGCCCATCGGACGGATAGTAGAAGAGGTGCGGATGGAAAAAGGAAGGGCCGCGAGCCGGGCCTAAAGCTACTTGGCGTAGTATAGAAACCCTCGTGGCCCCTTTCCCGACTGTTCGTTCACGGAGTTTCGACGGTATGGCAGAGAGGAGAAGGAAGATGAGAGAAGAAAACGAAGGGGGGCCCTTCGAAGCAGGCTTAGCTCTCTGAGGCTCACGGAGGAGCTGAGACTTGGCTCAATCGCTCAGGCACGCAGGCCCACCGCTGGCTGGCTGGCTGGGTTGGCTTGGCGCACACAGAGAGCCCACCGGGCCACCCACCGCGACCATTCACCGGAACCGAGCCCCATCCAATCCCAGCGGTTCTCATTTTCTGCTGTCATCCACTCTTTTTCCACGTATCTCACAATTTTTCATTGATAAACACGCATCGCATTTACTGCTTCCCAAGAAAAGAGCAATTGAATCTCGTGTCTGATTTGATTTCTACAAATCGAACAATAGAACATGATTCCATTGACCGAGGCATCTTATATTTCAACGTTAAATTAAACGAACCAGTTCTAATTACAGAAATCGAATAACTCTAAGTTACACAATTTTGTTTAATCAATCTCGTTTGCAATCAAACTTCCTTGCACAATTCTTAAATTTCGTACCCCGAATCGATCTCATGGTCGACGTCTAGGAATCCTATGAATCAACGCGTAATAATCAGGATGACGTCCAACGATGCCGCGTGATAAATAGAAGATGAGATCCTCTGTTTACGCGGCCGTTCGTCCGTCCGTCCGTCCGTCGGTGTAACAACAACAGATTCCCGGTGGGTCTTTGGACGACGGTCTTCTGACTTTCTTATCCCCGTTGCGGCCTTACGGAATCTCACCGTCTCGTTCCCTCGCTTTGGTCCAGCGCCGCTCCTTCTCGCTCCGCCTCGACCTCTTCATCATCGTTTTCTTCTCCTCCGCTCGGTATTCCCGTCTCCCTCGCACTCGGAGGCATGGGGGCCTAATGAAGATGTAAGCAGTCGGCCGGGTCCCTCGTGCACGGTCGTACCTTCGTCCTCTGTCCATCCTCGTCGTACCAACGCCATGGCCTCCTTGCGCCGGTTGGTCCTCGGTACAGGTCGTTCCAGGAAGACGCTGTCCAGACACTTCCGAGTTCTAGGCTCGATACTCAGTTATCTCCGCCGCCGCTTTCCTCCTTTGACAGAGGAAACTCGTTCCCACGAGCCGATTCATGTTTTAAAATCATCTTACGTGTCGATAGTCAACAGGAATAAATGATCGTACAATAATAATTTCAAAGGATCACAGCATTCCGCGTTCTGCAAGTTTTAAGAAACTTTTGCAATGATATTCGGTATAACCGTTTAACCCTTGTCAGGCCGTAAATCATTATTCGCAAAAAAAAAAATGAGTGGATCCCGTTTCTTGGAATATCCTATACAAGCATATTATCTGGCAAAGGTGAGGGCAAAAGGAAGAGCACTCTTCCGATCTTCCTGCGGCTAAGTCTCCGTCCTTTTCCTCTCTAGATTCGAAACGAAACCGCCTCCTCCGTGTACGCGGATGTTCGACCGAGGGAAAGAGAGAAACGGAAGCCAGGTGGAACGGGACGGGGAGATATTGGCGCGTGTGCCGGGGCATCTCTGTTTAGCGAACCTACCGCGCCGTCGCGTCGTGTACACGCGAAAATAAAGGCAAAACGGATTGAATTAAGTGGACGCGCTCTCCGCCGTTCGATTCACAAAAGCCGGAGCCGTGCGGCTACGCGCCAGCTGGTCCGAGAGAGCCGGGGTAAAAATATTCCCCGCGATTCCGTAACGTAATCACGAATAATTGCGTGCCAGCTCGGTCACATCGCGCTCCGTGTATACCATTCGACTCTCGGCTTCCGCCTCGAGGTCGACTTTAATTGCGCTCATCGAGCGTCGATCTCCTTTTCGAATCGCAGCTGCAGGAAACGGGCCGAAACGTGAATTATTACTTCGCTTTGACACGCCGAAAATTGCACGTCTCTCTGTTCCCCGTTCTTAATATTCGATTACACGATTTAATATCCCTGTGAGGCGATGCGGGATTAATTATTGTACCATTACGACATTAACGCATTCCATTTACGATCACGTTAAATCTGAAGCAAAAGAAGTTTCCCTAAAACGTCGACAATTAAATAATAAATAGTTAACGAGAGGATCCACCGTGTTGCCAATAAAATTGCCTCGCATTCCTGCGCGGCTCGCGGCGTAAAGAGCGAAAATCAGGGGGCCATAAAGCAACGTTTTATCGATCTCTCGCCGGCGAAATTTATAGCCGTCAGTCTTGCCGGAATATCGCGGAATCGCGCCACGGAGTCATAAACTCCTTCACTCTTTTCCGTCTCGTCGCTTCTTTTCAAACACTCCTCTCGCCTTCTCACCGTACGCGCACGGGTATGGAACACTGCGCCCGCATATCCCGGCTGCCTCGGCCGCAGTCACCTCACGGATATCCGGTACTGATCCGCGTGGCGCACGCACATCTCGGATCACCATCTCGAAAGAATTTCTTCTCCGTTCCACCCGTTGCGAGGAGGCTATCCGCCCCGAGACCCTCGTGGGCCTGTACGCTACCGATCACGGACGCAAAAAGTCGCGACAACGCAGTGCAAATTGGTCGACGCTTTTTCAATGGCTCGTTACTGTCGTCCCTGATATGCGATTAATTAACTGGGATAGGGGAAAGGAATGCTCTATGTGGAGACGAAGGGTGCAGGTCTGCGTGTACACCACAACTTACTAAATACAATTGTCAATTATCGAATTAGCGAGCTTAGATATTCGTATGTTCATATTTAAATAAAAGGTTCTATTACCCAATCGCCGGATATCATTTTAGGCCGCACTGTTTTAGGCAATTATACGCAATATACGCAAATCTCGATTGACACTTTAAGCGTTGCACAGTGCGAACGATAAGGATGCATTAAAAACAAAGAAAGCAGTCGGTGAAATATAAATGATTACATCCGAAAGCTCGAGCGACGAGTTTATATCATATTTCTTTCGCGAAGTTAACGCGTTAATACAGTTTGACAAATTGCCTGAAATCGTAATTACCCCGAGATTTCGTGCGAGATACAATACGCAATTTGAACGTGAATTATCATCGCGGCCGGCGCGGTCGTACGGGGGAACTTTCATCGTGGTAACCGGTAAATCTTTCATCTAAACCGTTCATAAAAGCATTAAAGACGCATTACGGTCCCGTTTCGCGTGTTAAACATGACCACCCCGTTGACCGCGCGCCGTTTCCTCAAAGTTTCGTTCGAGACGAATGACTTTTTAATGATTTCCCCGCGCGATTATCGCGGATGCAAATTTTTACCAACACTCCCAGCCCGGCATTACGGCCTTTGTAAACGGCGTCCACGCGGTTCACGGTTTGCTGATCCGTGGCGTTATTGGGAGAGCGAGCCGGGCAAACTCGTTTGCTCATTAAAATCTCATAAAACGCTGATACGTCTTTAATCTGCCGTCCGCGAGCGTTTCCTGCGCGCGAGAGGAAATCCCGGGGAGCTAGTGGCGTTTTAACTCACTGATCCTAGACAAGGGCCGATGATCACGGCCGTACCTAGCGGACCGAGACGAAAGAATCGTCGGAACAGTTAGTCGGTACGATGTGCCGGCGTCTCTCCTACTATTCTCAGAGAGTAATATTTGTCCTCGATACTGAACCAGCACTTTTCATTGTTCCACTCTATCGTCACGGAAAACGGGTCGTTGAACCGCACTGTTTTAAGCAGTGAACTGAATCAACCAGGTGTGAGCAAATAATTCATAAAACAGATTTTCGAACGACGATTAATTTTGACGTAGAAATGACTGAACGAAGATCGGTGAAGATTTTACTATGACAAAAGATATTAAATTATACTTGTATATAAGAAAGCAGCGTATTTTTCGTTTTATAAACCTCAGATTTTACGAGCAATAGGAACCAAACGTATTTACTAACATCCCACTCTGACTTACGACGCGTCTCGCATGCTTTTCACTCGAGAAGTCGTTGGGAGGCTTTTGATTTCAACGGCGGATGGTTGAAGTTGGCAACGGGGTGTTCGAATTAGCGTTTGGACTACGGATAAATATAGAGGCCCACCCAACGAGTAACTAATGTACCGTGTACAGCGGCCGTAGAGAACTAAGGTTCGGCTCGGCTGTCTTCTTTCTCTTTCCAGCCCGAAATTGTCTCCGTTCGAGTTACGTACCGTTTGACCGGCGTTGAACTCTCTCCGGTCTCAACGAGTAATAAGTCAATGGGGCAAAAGTTTCACGTAGGATATGACACGGTCATGAATTATAATCTCGCTTAAAACTATTATAATAAGTTATATTCGACAACATTTGAGAAGCGTCAGATTATGGGTACATGTTCATCAGCATGGTCGCTGGCAAAGAGTGAGAAAGTAATATCCTTGTCACGAAACACAAAACGTGTCATGTACACTTTGTAACGTGTCACTGTTTGCAGAAAACGTGGCTTCTTTGTGTCGGATGCACTTCAGAATTGCAGACAGAACATACAGTGTCCTTAGTCATTCGTTGAATCGAGAGATTTATTGAAGTGTTTACAAACCAATAAGGTTTTAAAACATCTTAACAGGAAGTTCAGTAATTTGACATACATTAAGCTAAGGGATGTGTAAATTTTTCAAACGAAGCAATATGCCATTATTTCACAATGACAGAAAAGCTTTACAAATACTAATCGAGCCAAGACAACTGCATTCCAAATGTACGACACTGCGACATTTCGCGGGCCATAATGAAATAAATTCTCAGCGCGAAAATTTTCAAAACGACAAGCATTTGATGCACTTCTTTTAGCACACGTAATTGATAAAACTAGAAGTACCTAATTAGTGACACAAGAAGGAGACTCACCTTGAACCCAGAGCTGTTCGACCTTGCTGTGAACCTGAGCGGACTTGAGGGCGACGCAGAACGTAGCCAAAGCGACGATCGCGAGGAAGAGGACCTTGCCTGCGTGCCTCTGCAGGAAGTAGCCCAGCTGACTCAGCTGATCCTGCAGCCTTGCCCTGATCCACACCGCAGACCTCTGACCTTCCGCCTTGCCCTGGAACATGAAGTCAATAATTATAATGTTAACCAGTTGTCCGTACACATTTAAACGAGACACAACTATGATTTTTAATTTGATTGCTCAAATTAATACCTACGAAAAATCGTAAGAAAATCGTTTTACTTCTGTTTATTTTAAGAAGCCATAATAGCAGCTTTTATTTTTAAACTGACCTCAGTTTCGCATAAAGTGCAGTGACTCGACGCTACCAAATCAGATAACGTAACAATCAAGTAGTTCATCTTGATATTGAAAGATTCAGTAGTCCCTCTGTTTTGCTTTCGGATCAAGCGGGATCTTTTAAATTCCATTCGCATCACAAATAGACACAATCTCGAATTAGCATATAAATTTGCATGATTGCCGATGGTTACGTAATATATAAAGACAGCCTCGTCGACTCGAGCTCCCAATTCGTGCGAGGCACTGGTGCAGCAAGCTACTGCCTATGATTTTCAAGAAACAGAACTGATTCTAGGCAGCTACCCCAGGGCGGTGTGGCTGGTACAGCAGCCGAAGCGCTTTAAATTGGCCGCGTGGGCTTTGACGATGATAAGTAGCTAGCCGCGGGTTGTACGAACGTGTGCGCCACCCTTTTCAGACGAAGAAGGAGAAAGTAGGAAGAGGGAGAACCGGCGAGATGCCAGTGATGAAGATTGAACGAAGATGGTAGTAATAAGGTGGACGAGCGCGGACAATATTTGAGAGGAGAAAATTAAGAGAGTGAGAAAGAATTATAAATAAAAATTGTCAATGCTAAGGGAAATAAGACGTTATGGCAGCGGCATTACCGCGGTTGAAGGAAATTGAAATTAGAGACGAATCATTTTCGTTACGAAACGAATAACAGAAAATAGTTGGATAAAAACCGTGAAAGTGATAAAAAGAGGTGGAAGGAAGATAGAGAACGGACGATGGGAGAGGGCAACATTGCGAGCGGCAACGTTGCACACTACCTGGTGGCCGGTCTGACAATGTGCACCACGGACCACCCGCAACAATACCTATCTTTCCTGGCCGACAGGGAAAGAAAGACGGAGAAGAGGGAAGGACGAGAGGAGGAGAGGCCCACGGATCAGAAGGGAATCGAGCTCGCGGGAGGAAAGGAGCGGACGCGGGCTTTTCTCCTCTCCGTGCTCTTTCTGCAACGCGTCGGCTCCGCCGGGTACAGTTAGAGAGCAAGAACTAGGAGAGAAATCGGGAATAGGTGATGCGACGAGAGGGAACGAGAAGGAGAGGCGTAACACGGCGCACGATAGACGTACAGATGAAAATACAGATTACACACGCTTACGTATCTCGGGGCAGTAGCCGGGGCGTCCAGTATCGGATAGCAAGGTTTTCCAGCCAATTAACTCCGGTGCCGCGGCCTCGCGGCCCGCCAGACTCGGGTAACTCTAGACGTGCAGACAATCCTCGTCGGCCACATGGTCTCCGGGGAATCTCGGCTCCGTAGACCTCCGTGGAACATGCCCCGACCGATGAGCGCGTGTTTACGTTCCCCGATGAATTCGTTCCTCTTTCTCATCGCCCGTACCTCGTTTCCTTTTTTTACTTTTTTATCAAAGAAGATTGCCACCGATCGATCAATTCCAGAGGCTTCGTATGAAATTCCTCGGCGCGGTTTAATTCGCTTCTTCTACTACTTCTTTCAAACCGACCTCATGAACGTGCTTGAATATTTATTACATACGCGATCCTCGTTATGTGTTTGAATTTTAATGATGAACATAGTAACAAACGCATTTTTTTACTTCGAGTAATAACGAAGTTCTGCTTTGGCAGGTGGCCTACGGCTTTTGTATCGCGCTGTATGTACACAGAAAGATAAAAGCTGACCGACAGGCTCACAATCGAATTCTTATTTCACGTCCCGTCCCTGTCAAAGAATTAAACAGCGATTACAATCGAGTATAAGCAACAAGAAACGCTTGCATCACTGTCGTCGACTTCGAGAAGCGAACAGCCTGACAGGATCTTTATAGTGCCGAGTAAGTACGTAACACGTGCACGCGTGCATGTGTGTACGTACGTGCGTACGCGATACGAAAGGGGCACGGTCTCGAGTACGAAGGAAATTCGACGAGCCGCCGGAGGTAGGGGGTGAACATTTAACGAATTTATGTTATTCGTACTTTTAATGTTTTTCTTACAGCGTGACGCGAGGTTCGCGAGGAGATAGCAGACAGCATAACAGGATCTTATGTCAACGATGGTGGTCCCCTGTGCCACGAGGTTGTAATATGTAGATATTGCCCACCACGAGAAACCCCATAAGGCCCGCGGGGATCACTTACGGGAAAAAGGGGGAATTCCACCAGCTCTGTTCTCTCTCACTCTATCGCAGCTCTCCCGTATACACGAGAGAGCCTATATAGACGTCTCGAGACCGACTCGTGGCGTCGTCGCTTCCTTTTTCTCCTTTATTTCACTCTCCCTTTGTCCTGCTCCCGGTCCCCTTCCATCGCAGTCGCTCCCTTCACGGTCGTTCGCGAAAATTCGAGCACGACACGCTTGTTACTCTATGCAACGTCATTTCTATATGCAATTTCAATTATACTGAATTAGAAATTAAATATGGAAAATGATTTGGCGAGCCACATCCTGTATATTATTCATCTAAATCTAAAACCTGCTCAAGATTCCCTGTCGAACGAACAGTTCACGGCGCTCAGTAAATGTTCCGCGAATTTACATGCCAGTAATGGAATTGAGTAAACACACGCACGCCCTGCGATTCCCATGTAGATGGGTGAAGCCCGACGATGCCTATCTTAGACGCCTCTCGTCTAGATGTTGCATGCGCGCATTGAAATCGCCGCGGAACTTATAGAATTAGTTGCAGCAACGTGTTCGGCTCGTAGCCACATAGTTGCGCATAAGCGCGTGTGCGTTTACTCGCTGGCTCGCGGTTACATGCGACTTGCCAGATAAACGAATAGTTTCTTGCGGTAGGTACAGCTCGAAAGTGTCCGCAAGAAACTCGATCCGACTGGCACTCTAATCGGCCGAAGAATTCCAACCTATTCGAAAGGAAAAGCCACGCTTAGATTCCGGTAACGAGCTGCCTCCACCTTCCTTCCCTGGCTACGTACCACGTCCAGGCAAAAACGTGCCTCTTCCTGTTTGACACATCAATTGGAGCACCGCATACTTTCGTCTGATCAATGAAACACGAATCTCTCTTCCCTCATTTTTATTAAATAAATAATGTAACAAAATCCTACTTATTACACCAGAAATAATTAAAATGGAATTTAAGAATTCCTTCAAAGCAATTATTCCCCTACCGGGACCAACGTATTCCTTCCTCTATCATTTACCTAACAAAACAACGGAACCTTCAAAGAGGAAGGGATCCTCGCTAATTTCATAATTGTTAGCTCACGCAACAAAATCTACAAGTTGAACGTTTGAACGATAGACAGAGACCGCATCGATCAGGTACTGACCCTGCGCAAAGGAGCCAGCGGGATGAAGAGGATTCAAGGAAGCAAGGGGCGTGTATCCTTCAGCAAGGATGAAAGGCACAGAGCCGACGTTACCCATCATCCATTTCGCTCTGACTTATTCTGTCGACCTTTACGGCGAATTTGTACCATTAGAAGCGGAGCAGAGCTGGCATTCTACGGTAGACCTCAGAAGATTTTTCACGCGAAAATCCTCGGCTCCTTTCTTACGACTTTCACGTGACCGCTTCAGATCGGATGATCTCACGTTAGAAAAGCCGAATAAGATGCAAGGTGATCGAAGAGCGTACAATGGCAGCCTGTCAACAAATTTTTAGGAATCGACAGAGAACCGTTTGTCCAAGCTATGGCTGACGCCGTTGAGGGAAGAAAGCGAGAGATGATGCAAAATTTCTCGCGGTAGAAATAATTGAACCCACGGACGTAACAAAGATGCAGAGTCATCTGACGCCTATTTTACGAGCATCGGCTACATGCACTCCACCCGAGGAAAAGAAAGAGGAAATATTTCTTCTTCATACGAATTTTGTAAATACTGACGTCTCTAACTGTATCGTCGCCGTGGAAAGACGGATACGCCCTGAACGGCATTGGCTCTGCCACCCTTCGGTCGGTTGTGAGAGCCTCTTTCGTAGGTATTATTAGTGTAACAGCCTCACACGTAGTGTCGGCGCCCTTTAATCTCACTCGAACGGACGGCACCGACGCAACGTGCGTGAATGTACAGCATTGTGCTCTCGGTCTCTCGGGACCGGGATATCTCAGCTGCCACAAATTAAGACACGATTATAAAATACGTAGCAGAATTTCTGTCCCCGTCTCAACGTCTCTACGTTTCCTGTACTCCGATTTCAAAACAGGGTTAAACACGAAGCCACATAAATTCAATATTTTCATAATTATCACAGATTATTAGTAAAAATGAATGACCAAACTGCACGTCACGGTTTCCTTGATGAATGACTACTAAAAATAGTATTTTATAATGAAGAGACAGGCGTGCAGAAATGCCAGTCGGATGCTGCTTATAGGAAATACGATCACGTGGCCGTGCACAAGCGAACGATTGTGTATAGGAGGTAGTGCAGGAGGTCGAGGTCTTTGCCTGTAACTGAATCATCCTCGAGGACGGTAAACAAATTGAAGTAAGTGGAGCCTCGGCGATGATGCATACGTATGCATATGCATTGCTCATCGACTTGAACACACAGGCACACTGATGCGCACTTCCGTAAGACGAAATCATTCCTTCCCCACAAACATTAAGTGATAAGTGACAAGTGCAATGTGAGTCAAAGGCGATAAGCAATACGAGGAAGTTTATATAAAAAGTGTAGATAAAATCATTTTAGTGGTGATGAAGTAAAGTATAATCTTTGAGAAACTGTTGTTTATTGCAGTATAGAAAATTTACAACATCAGGTTCGACGAAAAAGAGGAAATCCGTGCAGCGGTTCCATCGCACGCGTCGCGTCGTGCGTATATGCACGCAGAGAGCATCGTAAGGGCAGTGGCCGTGACTGACTGACTCATCTGGCATGAACGCGGCTTGAGCGGCTCTCCCATTTCAGACCGACGAGAAAAGTGGAGCGTCGACCCCGAAGAGAACGCGTCTCTTTTTTTCTTCTTCTCCTGCCCCGATAACGCCGAGACCGCCACTGTCATCACTTCCCGCCGATATCGAGCACGCTGACACCGCGCGATTGTGCAACCGCGTAAACGATCAAACGGCAGCAGGCCGCGGCTCCGTTTTCCTCGGCTCGCGGTCCGCCCTAGGTGGTGGTATGAAAATTTAGTTTCATAGTTTTATTTGTTTTCTCTTTGCCTTTCAACAGACTTCGCTCTTGAGTAAATGTAATTAATACTTCGAACACATAATTTCAACCGCACTTGCGTCCTGCATATTTTAAAACCTAACTATGTTAGATTGAATCATTGAGAAGTTTAATGTACGATCGGGTAATGCCGATGGCATCGTTCCCCAGAAAAAGTTGCCACAATTATAATAAAATGCATGCATTACTTTCAATTGCCCTCGGCCTGATGAAGGAACAGGTCGAGATACGTGCACCTATAATAACAGGCGAACCGAGCGTCAGTTCTCGAGAACGTTTTGCTCAAGCTAGTCTCTCTGGGTGGTCACACGAGCAGTTTCCACGTCGCGGATCTATATACCGGGTCGTCCGACTTGAACAGAGTTCGTTCTAAAAAGAAATCCATGTCCAAATCAGAAATTTACTACTGTCCTCTGTGACAATTTACAGTCGCAAAAGAACGGTATAATTTCTCTCTCCAGTTTTACGTTCACCGATCAGACTTCGACATAATATAGGACTATTCTTTAATGACCTAATAAACTTGATTTTTTTCGATCTTCACGAATATCTGGGAGCTACCGAAGAAACTGGTTTCGAACGCAGAGCAGAAAAAAATTGTTAATTGGGATCCTTGGGAGAAATGTGGGAATAAAAGAGGCGTTTTCTACTTTATGATGGTCCCAGATAATATCATCGCTTATATGGTTATTCGATAAAACTTGTTCGCCGAATGAGACGAGAGCTCGCGATTCAGATATCAAGTTGTCAAAGGATCCTTCAATGGTACAGTTATTTAATTGAATGAAGTAGTAGGCGATCGTAAGAATGGAAAATGAGACAATTCTCAAGGGGGAACTAGTGACAGAAGGTGTTCGAAGCTGCTCCAGGGGGTGTGTTTCAGGGTTCTTAGAAAACCCGAAAGAAAAGACCTTGTCGTCGAAAGCTCGCAGGGTTCCGTGGTGCTCGGAGCCCGTTTCGAAAGGTGATAGGGCCCGGGGTTCACGTGCCGTGCACATTCTGCCTGAGATCCCAGATGGAAGGATCTCGAGGGACGATCTCAGTGTCGCAAGACCGCTCAAGATCGTCTTCGTCGTCTGAAGAAGACTTTTTTTTTTTAAGAAACCAGAAGTTCGTGCCGTCGAAAACATAGAGTGGGGAGGCGTGCTTCTTCAGCAGGAAGTCGATCCTTCGTCGATCCGCACTTTTCAACCTTCCCTCCTGTCTTTCTTTCGTCATCATCCACCCGCGTCTCAACTTCGAAAACATGTCTTCAGACCACCCGGGTGTGTGAAAGTTTACAGTTAGTTGTTAGAGAATTTCGAGGGAGAGAAACAGACTTCATAGAAAGGGTATTGCCCCCTAAGCGATCTTAAACCTAACTTATGTCGTTACAACTCAGTTACACTCTTTTTCCAATATGATTGCAGATGAGATAACGACGAAAACGACGACTCATAGATGCAAGTACATCTTTACACTCGTTTGGATTTCTATTTTACAATTTCGTTAGGTCTTCGTCGGATGAAGGTCTAATCTAAGAAATGCATGCATCGTATCACGTCGATTACAGATATCGCGTAACGACCGATAGAAAGTAACAGCTTCGCTTACCGCTAGCAATACAATTTACATTGAATTTATGCTATCTATATGCATCTCGTCACGGAGTAGCGTGTGATCGTGCTATTATCTACTTCTAGTTAACGTAACCGGTCTTCGTGCATGCAACAATGACTTAAGTGAACTTCCTATAGTAGATGCGAGTGCTTTGGGCAGTACTCTTTACAGATCGTATTTAAATTCAACGTACTTACCTACAATTTTCGTTATATGCCTTCACACATTCAAACACCAATCTCACGCACTTCCGAAATACGTATTCAACGTTCGATTTTTCAATTATTCGTATTCATGTAGAAAATACATGTATCTTTTTTTTACATACGTACCTGAATGAATAAAAAAGATCAATGACTAACCTTTTCAAGCTGATCCAACGCTATCGCCGCATCCGTCCAACTAGGTCTGATGTAAAGATCCGACTCGTGTCGTTGTTTCGCGTTCTCGGTGGAATTTTTAACATTTTCACAATGACTCTTCGCGGAATTTCCGTTCTGCGACGAGTGCGGACACTGAGAACCGGAAGGGCGTCCCGCTAGGATCCCTGTGGGGCCGGACGCAGAAACCATGATCCGTCATACATTCGCCCCGGCACGATTCGCAGTATGATTATTTTTAATAATGCTCTCCACCAAACGGCAGGTATATCTTTCCAGTTTCGATGTTCCCGGTCGCTTCGCCACCCCGTTCCGTTGCCGTGCGTGCGCGATATGAACCTCGAGAACGGGACAAGAACCAAGAGACACGGACACGAAAGAAAAAGGAAAGATCGAAGATAAACGATTCCACTTCGGTTCACACTTGTTACCGCGGTTGCACGATAATTTTCGCACGAGCCAGCCTCTCCAAAAACACTTGTCACAGCACAGGTTCGGACGGTGGTTCCTCTTGTCAACTCCGGCGTGAATTCGTTAACACCGTATATGCGAGGCACGGTAATCAAAATTCGCGCACGAGGTACACACCACAATTTCTCCTGCGCATGCGTGGGTAGTGCATCGTGCCCATCGATGGTATACGGACGAAACGGAGAGAGAATCGGTTTTTAGGTTAGCTTCGTACCACCGTAAAAGAGTAAATATACGTGAACAGCTCCCCCTTCGCCGATCCGTTCTCTTCTTTTCACCTCTTTCTCTAACCCACCGTTTCGCTTTTTCAGCTCGGATCCGCGGTATCCTCTTACTCCCTCGCCCGGCAGTGCCTCTCTCTTTTTCTCTCTCGCGGGATTCACGGTATGTGTCGCCGAGAAGCACGAGGGCGCACACGCGAGCTCGCTTGTTTTGAAGTATCACGCGACAACCGGCTGTACGTGTATCGTCGCCGATGTTTCCGCGGGAACCGTTTTCGCTTTCGCGCGAGCACACGTGCCTCCTTCTTATACCACGGAAAGGGTGCGAAACGCGTACGATCCAGCGTTAACAACGATTCAATCTCACTGTGTCCCTCCGTCGACACGAATACCCAGCGTGGCACCGTAGTCCACGCGCACTCCTCTCAGTGTCACTGTCACGATCGCTGTCACTTGACACGATTAGACCTCGTTCGAGCATCCGCACAACACCTGAGTAGATCCGCCGCGGCTACCGGGTTCGTATAAGCGCGGCAATAACTAGCATCCGATTTACGCACGGAGGCGTAGGCAATGTGAGAGGACGAGAGCGTTTCACGGTCCAGGGACGGCAGCTGGGATCTCTCGCCGAAGTTCAGTAAGTAACCCTCTGTCACGCGTTCTGTAACGACGACGTCGACGTCGTCCTCGTGTTCGGACACCGGCGTGCACGACTGCCACTTAGAGCAGTCTAAGTCCGTACTAAGCGAAACGCGGTGCCACATTTCTTCCGTGGCCTGCCTTCTGCGCCGGCCATAGTTGACGGCCCCCCTCCAATGAAGCCACTCGCCCGAGATCGGAGCTGCACAAACATTCAGGACCGTAATTCCACGGTCGCTTTTAAATAAACTTCACCCGTTCGGAGAAATACGAACCTCGATTGGCAAGTATTCAGTTGCAATACCTTGATAAGATAATGCAATATATTTTTAAATCTATTTTTCTGACAAATGAAACGAACCGAATTTGACACTCAATACGTTTATTATACATCCACTTGTTACACAATAGAATAGCAATTCTATATCTGGTTTTCTAGATAATTGCATATTTTTTTAAAGCAACGAGCATCCTATTTTATTCCTAGTTACACAGTTGTAAATTGACTCCGTTTGCTCTTTACAATAACAAGAATCTCAAAGATTCATTTAATACGATTGATGTATAATAATATATTATAATATATAACAACGATAAAATAAAAATCGTTAAAGAAATAAATTGATTCCAGTGTATGGTGTTATCATAATTTTCGCGGTATAGAGGTACGTCACTGCTGGTACCGATGACGTAGGCGAACCAAGCCGAGTTTGGCCGAAGCGATCAGAACTTATTCGTGATTGGCTGAATCAGCGTAGCGTTCTACGTTGCTAGGATACGGCGATGTGCCATCAGAAAGGGGCGCAGGGGGCACGAGGCAGGACCACACACGCGGTACCATTTCCCCTCGAGCAAAAACATTACTCACACATGCACGCGGGATTGACTACGTGACACGCACGCGACGCACACAGAACAATGTGGTTTACAGATCGCCCTGAGCTCTTCTTTTCTCTCTCGCCCATCTGGCTGGCTCCTCTCTCTCCTCGTCGTTGCACCACACCGTCCGCGAGACGTTTTATACACACGCTCCCCATGTTCTGTGTTGGTCAAAGAAAATCCAGACGATTCATGAAAGCGCAGCGGACGCGGTCGACGCGCGGCGGAGATGCTGAAGACGAGCGGAAAGAGGGCCACCGATGCACGGAACGTAAACACGGACTCCCTTACGGGCCTCCGAAGATCAAAATCGCTGCTGCTCCGGGCAATATTAATCGGGACCGGAAATACGGGAGTTTGCTGCACACCAACACGGCGAACGTCCCCCTCGCCACGATCGCCGAAGCGAATCTGCATAATTGATTATATGCGTCTGCCGTGCCACTGGTTATGATTTGATTGGCGGCCGCAACTATAGGGTTCGGTCGCGTTCTCTCTCCTGTTATTATTGTTGTCTGCTGCACGCGTAATCGAATCAAACGTTCCTCATGAACATTTTTGTACAATTAATTCTTCATTTGTATCATGCGTAACTTCAAAACGCATTCTTCCTATTTAATTATCCTGGTAGTTGCGCGATCTGTGCACGGAAGAGAAAGGAGTAACTGTTTTTTGAAAGTGTTCATTAAGCCGCAGAGGAGAGCCAGACGATTAACTTATTAACCTGTCTTCATAATATCTGCATAACGATGCGACTTCATTAGGCGTTGTATACTACTCCCGTGCGCGTGATCGCGTGTATGCGTGTACGCCTGTTGCTCGCGGAATCGCGCACACACGTGCACACGCTCATTGGACACTTTCACACGTACGTACGGGCGCACGTGTAAAAGGTGGACGCGTGTATGGCGAGGCCTGCGTGAAGAGGACGGGAGGAGGGACATCGGCGAACAAAGAAAATTAAATAAGAAGGAGGGAGAGAGAGCTAGTCAAACTGGCAGATTGAAAGAGGTAATGTATAAATATGCGACCACCCACTGCGACACCAAGCCCGACACCCTGTTCCATCGAATACGAAACAATTTTCGATTCTGATACGGACTGACGTCCCTCTTCCCCCGTGCGCTCCGATTACGGAGATCTTGCGGACATTTGAATCCAATTTCTTCAATCTTCGAACGGGAGGTCTACATTTATATTAGTGTTTTAAAGCATGTGGATTAATGCTGAGAAAAATGAAACTTTTATCAAGATCCAGATTACTGTACATGCAATAAGAATTTCTTGAGTTTTCATTAGCACTGTAATGAGTTCAGTTTACTCTGATTATGCTGTACTAATTTGAAGTAAGAATATACGTATGCAAGTTGCTCGGAACGTTCAAAGGGTTAATCTAAGATCGTGAAAAAATATTTGGAATAACATTACTTATGTTTGTGAAAACATAGATAGGAAGTATTGCTTCACGTCATTTAGTACGAAAGGAGCAATGGCGTTCATTGTTTGCGTGATGTAATGTCCGTGAACGATACGTTCCAGCGACATCGCAAAATAGAAAAAACACCGAGTCGAAATTTTTATAAGTTCTTGAACGATCGACCATTATCTCCGTTCCATACGTCGTCGACGGTGAACTGATACACTATAAAGTGTTAATTGAACTTACCTCTTTTTATACTCGAATTTTTATTTTAATTGATCTCCCTTCTGTATTTTATTCGAAGTTCCAGAATTGTTGAACGGATATTTTATGTATATTTCTTAAAAGTCTTAAAACTCTGAGAAACAATTGTTAATTTGATTCGCTATGTGTACTCCCCGCCAGGTGCAAAAAATATTGTAAGTATCAAGTAACGATCATGTGCGTGGATGCTTGCGTATTTATTACCGTATAATGAAACATAATTGAATCAATTAATCCGCGAGTACGAGTAAATCGATGCGATAAAGAACAAGAGGGACTGACCCAATCAGCGGTGAAATAAATTTCGCGGGTACGTGTAACAAAGTTCCAGTTACGAATAAAGGACACGCGGAGTGGAATGAGGACGGAGCGGAAATGTCATTGCACATTGTGGCCGCGGCTTCGACGAACGCACCCCACTACAGTCGCCGATCCGGCGATAACGCGCAGCATGCGGAGGGACCGTTAATAATTTTTACGACACTCTTAACTCGCCACCCAGTATTAAGCGGTCCTCTGTGGAAGACGAGCTTTGATCTTCGCCGACGCTGCATCGACTTAATGAGTGCGAGAGCGAGATAGCCGAGTGAGCCAGTCTGAAACAGAGTGTACGATCGCCCTGCACCACCTAACCCGAACCTAACTCAACTCCGCTCCTAATGGTCGGAATTGAACGAAACGTGGTAATCACATTCAGGGACCAACAAGTATCTTCAAGATATCTCGAGGTTTTCACTTCGGCCTAGTTGGGATAGGGTAGTGTAATTGTTTCTGGGTAAACTACCAGCAGCTACCTTCCCGTCGAAAAAAAAAAGATACATCTTCTAAGACCGAAGTTATTTCGATCTCTAATCGTTACTGACAGAAGCGACCAAGCGGTCCTTCCAATCTCAAAAGTTACGGGCAAGGAGATTAAGCTGCAGCTAACGCGGGGTATGGGGAGATGGAGGTAGCAACCAGTGAAGCCGTCACGCCACCGTTACCAGAGGTGAATACTGAACCACCCTTGCTTGCGGGTACCTAACACCCACTGCTCCTGTGAATTTATTTTCCACAATGCACACCTCTGCACTGCCGGTTGCATCGCTGCAGGCTTCTCTCAACTACGATAATCTTTCTGAAGAGAATGTTGCTAAAAACTAATTGTAAAAAATGATCACTTAACCCGAAGTTAATTCGTTATTACATAAAACGTAGGTATAAGTTACTAAAAGTAGAATGTAGTACAGCATACCTACCACTTGGTATGTAATTCTGATACGAATAGTAGTTGCTTTCTAACTTACAAGCACTAAAACATGCTGAAACATGGGGCTATAACGACTAATTTGCTGAGAGACGTATATAATCGTGTAGTGGATTATTTGAATGACTGAAATATCCCGTTTATGACTCGCCGGGTATGCCGTTGATATTAAAAGTAACGTTAAAAGATTTCTTCCCTCGCCATTTCATCCCGTCCTCACCTCTTATCTCCGTTACATTCTCTTCATTAGCGGACATAAAAATCGCAACAGGCAAAAAGGTGAACGTATCTGATTAAGACAAGAACACCCAGCAGCAGCGGGCCAATCAAAAATGTGTAATTCAACCTTTTTTTCTGGCCTTCCATTCAATAAGAAGGCTAGTAAAAACTCGGCGATCAAAAACCGGAGACCATTCATGGGAACAAAAAGGAGCGGCGGTGTCATACGCGAGGGATATAAAGAAGGGAGGACGAGTCGGAGAACAATAAGCAACAAGACGGAAAAAGAGTTGGAAAAAGAATGACATCGAGAAAGATAGATATCCTGATGGGGTGAAGTAGCTGGACGAAACGGGAGCGAGCGAGACGACCAGGAGGTAGCAGGAGGGAGAGGAGAGGACTGGGCACGGCGAACGGTGGACGCGGGGGAAGAAGAGAAGTCGACTACTTCCCTTACGCAAGACGACTCGGTACGCCGCGCCGCGTTCGTTCACTGCGTTGGCCGCGTTCAACGGTGCGTGCACATGAGAGACACGAGAGATGCTATCGGCCACCAAGACGGCTCTGGACTTCTCCACCGGACCACCCACCGGCAAAATAATAAACACGGAATGCGGCATACACGTCGGTCCGTCCGTCCGTCCGTCCGACCATTCGTTTGTTTCTATTTCGCAGATACCATCGAAAATAAGGTCTCCCGTCGATACCGCAGCTGGCAATCGACGATATGTACTAACTTCCACCGGTTGCTGTCCCGTTCAGATGCGCAACGCGGCATTGGACAACTACCGATTTACGGTGGCCATCATCTCCCCTTCGATAAAGAGGGATGAATGTGATAATAGAAATTGTTAGAAGATTTTACTGCGGAATATGTTAATCATACGTGGTCGCATTGAAAAGAAAATTGCATATCAGCAATTTTTAATCACATTCGACGAATGTCTGCAGAAATTAAAACAGACAGGAATGAAGTTGGAAATTGCCAGGAACAGCGCTCGTCCTATTAGCCTTTACGTCGATTTTCTATCTCGCTGCGTTGTCGGACAGCATCGTTAACCTCGATGCAGAGAGATGACTAATGCCGAGGATCGTAGGAGCGGTTTGCTAAACAGAGGATCGTCCTTTACCATTGTAACGAGGGGAATCGTTACTCTTCGTCGTGAGCGTAGGCTAGTCTGTTCAGAGAAAGAGAGGCAGAACGAAGATGATCGTAACCCGGGGCTATCTGCATCTACGACCGCTACCAGTGCTCCACGTCGATGGATTATCTGCGACACGTCGTCGTCCCTGACGCCGAAACACCGCGGGGACGTCGACTTCCGGTGTTGCTTGAACGATTCTCGACGAATTCCGTTCCGGACGGGGGAATTGTCATTATCTTCGTTGACTCGGCGGATTCTTTGTGTCCTCCCCTGTTCCTCCTGGCTACGTGCTGTTAGGAGATACAATCTCTACGGGTGGCGGTCGTTCGATACCGTGAACGCCGCACGGTTAGTGATTGGTAATTATCGGCCGATTATACGTAACGTAGCTCAAGCGTTAATTAAATGGTTCGAGTCAAAATTAAAATCGATATTATTTTTACAACGATTTATTGCCTTTTATGCCTCTTTGAGTTAGAGACGATTATCTCACGGAAAAATTACGAAATCATTTAATTACACAAAATTTCATCGAATTAGCTCGTGTCATGAAAAAATGTCAAGAGGTAAATGAGAGGGAATTGTAAGAAGGACGCGGTGAAATAGAATAGCGTTCGAGAGAAAGGTACAACGTAAAGGTGAATAGGGAGCGAAAGAACGAGGGGGGGAAGGATATCCGACTTACTAATTGCGACGACGTCGGTGGTCCGTAGACGCACCGCGGGCCATGACGAAAAGCGATACGGCCAGAGCAGAAAGCCAGCAAGGCCACGCGGCGCGATACGTCCCCGTGGTTAACCCGAATCGAAATCGTAAATCCGGCTCGGACGATTTGTAACATTTACCTCAAGGTAGTCTGCATACAAAGTCACGCTTGTTTGCGCCTCCGCGCCGCGCCACGCCGGGGCAAGTACTGAACGCAATTCAGTAGCAACGGGCATATCGTTTATTCATGCTTTTTCGTGCGCCCACCGCGACAATGGTTTCGTATCGCGTTCATCTAGGAATAAAGTATTAAAGGCGTTATTTATGGTACATGGAAGGAATACAAAAGTGGATAATAAAATAGAGATTCTTATGTTCGTTGTGTCTTCGATTCTCGTCGCCTCTCTTTTTTTATTCAATTGACACTGAAATCTTTGCTTCTTCTGAGACGATTCAATTACAGACATTTCACATCGGCTTTCACTGCTTCTTCGAAGGTGTAAAGCTTGTACTAACG